GCAATTGGGGTTCCACCAGGAAGTCCCCACCCCTATCCCATCCTCCATACCCTATTGTCCCATCTCACTTCATACCTCTCCTTCTGGCTCTGCTGCTCCTTCCAGCTCCTTGATGGCCTGCCGAACAGAGCCCAGCACACCTCGGCACAGGCGGCACAGCCTTACCACTTCCTGAAACCCACACACAGGGTTGGAGTTGAGGGTCAGAATTTAGGATAAGAGTGGGGGTGAGGCCACCTTAGAGACTTTTATGGAGGCAGTATTGAGTTCGGTTCCTGACTCTGTTGCTTACTACTTGTATGACATAGGGCAGGTTCAGAAACCTTCTTGAACCTCTGTTTTCTCTACTATAAAGTCAGGATAAGACAAGCTTTTGTGAGTTTTAAAGAGATGGTGCCAGCTCAGCATCTAGCATGGGCCTGGCACACTGTACAGCTTGGTAACTGTGAGCCTCCTTTCCCTTTGTCTGCACTGGGGCTTTATCCTGTCAACCCCCTCTCTGCCTACTCAGATCTACTTCCCCTTTGATACTAAAGGGGAAATTTGGAGACCACGATACAGACAGACCCCTTTTATACTCAGCTCAGCTCATGTTTATTCTTCTCTTCTTGAATATGCACAGCACTTAGGTTCACAGAATCATGGAAGGTAAGTACTGAAAGCACCTTTAGAGATCATATCACAATTGCTGCACTTTGCTGATGAGGATCCTGAGGTCTGGATGTTGGTGCAAGGAGAAGGTACAGAAAGGGCACCAACTCCGGAAGTGAGGCAAAATAACTTGTCCAAGGTGACATGGAATAAGAACCAGCCTCAGCGCTGTTCTCAGTGCCTTCCAGAAACCCAATGATGCTATCTTGTACTCTTCTCTAGTTTCATGACTTATCTTCCACCAAAAATCATATTTTTACTGTCATATTAAGAATTTATTTAACATATTCCTCCCATCTCCCCATTAGCCCATGGCACAACGCACAATATTTTGCTCACGATCTGTGAGCCATAAATACTTGTTCAATTGAATGGAATGGAAACCACTTTTTTGCAACCCCATGGCATGTCTTAGATCTGGCCTTTCTCCTAGAATATCCTCAGTTGGGTCATTCCTGGCTCCTAGTGAGTTTCCTTGGTGGTAGAAGGGAAGCTTACCTGGTGTATCTCTACCCAGTGGCTGGGAGAGGGGTCCCTGTGACCTCCTAAGTCCCACTGCAGCTCCTCTGGCTTGGCCACTCTTTTCAGATCATTCTCTGACAGCAACTCAGCACCCTGTAGACACGAGAAGGCAGGGGGTTTCTGCCTGGGCACCCAGGGATTCAGAGACTAGCCTGGGGCTTCAGCCAGCTTCTTTTCCTGTCTCCACTACTGATGGAGGACTAGGTGAGGGTGAAGGGCTCAAACCTGAAATCCATGCAGTTCAGTTGGAAGGTCATGATGAGTGAGAATCAACAGTCTCTGAATGAGGGGAGGGTCTCCTGAGTCCTGAGGGCAGAGAAGAACGACCCTAAACTGTGGGCCTGGAATGGCCAGTGAGGAAGAGTTAGGATCTAGCGACACTACCTCTCTTAAGGGGTGGTTACCTGAAGTTGACTCAGGACAGGAATGAGTGCTGGAGGCAGTGAGGGTGACTTGCGAAGGTCCAGCAGGACAGACAGCCCCAGTATCTGTAGATCAGGCCTGTGGGGGCGGGAAGAGCCAAGGAGGCTGCAGTGTGTGTGTGTGTGTGTGTGTGTGTGTGTGTGTGTGTGTTGAGGAGATATCAGATAGGACAGCACAGAGATACAGGGTCTTGTTTTAGTGTTAATAGTCTTTAGGAGAAGTTAGTTCTGGTACATTTGGGGAGCAATGGGCAAAGACCAAAGTCTGGGACGTGTGTCCAAGAGGCAGTGACCTGGCAATTGGGTGTCTATATTTATATGTCCCTATGTCCCTCAAGTCAAGGGATCAAGGTCAGGGAAGTTAAGAATTCTATGTTCTAGATGGTATAAATTCAATGTCATCCTGAAGTATGGTACCTAATAGGTACTTGGTGCTCAATAAATATTTGTTGAATGAGTGAACTAATGTCCTGATAATCTAGGTAGTGTCATGGGATATTGAAAGTCAACAGTGTTGATTCTGAGGATCAATGAAGACATTACCCTGGAGGTCAGGAGGCAGTAAGGTCAGAGGTCAATGACTTGAAAATCTGAAGGTTGAAGAAATAGGTATCTTAGAGGTCAGAAAGTCAGGGTCCTTATGACTCGGGAGGTTAGTGTCCAGGGTGCCAGCCCTGGGCCTCCGTTACCTGAGCAGTGAGTGGAGGTAATGAAGAGCAGTGCTCAGCATGTCTCGGGAGGGTGGGGGCTCCTCAGGAGAGCACGGTGGGGTAATGGTCAGCAGAGCTCGCCCACTCTGGTCCACCCCTCCTGAAGACACAAAATGGCCAGGCTGTCCTGGCTGGGAGCAGTCCTTGGCTACCTCCCTTCCACCCTGCTTCCCTCCCCAAGCCCACCCCAACCCTGATCCCCTTTTCTTTCGCCCACTGACCAGTCAGGATGAGGAATCCAGATGCCATCAGGTCCCAGGCTACATCAGGGTCATCAGAGATGGAAGCTGGAGGGGCCTCTTCTGGGATGCTATCCCTTCTTCCTTCCTTCACAGTCTCCAGGGGTGGTGTTGGGGGGTCACATAGGAGCTCCTCTGGGCCTGTGTGTCCTGCACAGACACAGGCAGAGCTATGGACCCAAAGTGAGGATGGGTCTGGCTCTTCTGCTCCCATCCTAACCCCTGCTCCTCCTCTAGCCCCCTCCCCCAGGCCAGCCTGCCCTGGCCCTTGCCCCATGGGCCTCGGTGTCATCTCACCTGCTATACATCCCTCCTTCTCTCTCTTGCTGGTCCCCTCTTCTGTAGGCCCACAGGCTTCTGGGGGCTGAGGCTCTTTCTCGTCTGCTGGTTTGAGCTCCTCCTGTGGTTCAGATTCTGGCTTCCCAGAGCCTTCATGCTCCTCCTTAACCAGGTTGCACTCTGGAAGCTCATGTTCATTTGGTGAGGGCAGATTGACAAGGGTTTCCTGGTGGCCTGTCTCTTCCTTGTCTCCAGGGCTCAGTGGGGCACTGTCCCCTCCTCGACTAAGAGCCCCTCTTCCTGCAGCTCTCTTCTTTCTCCTGTTCCCTTTGCCTGTTCTCCGAGGGGTACCAGGTGGCCCTTCAGTCCCATGTCCTGCTCCTCCTCCAACCTCCCCTGGCCTCAGGGGGCAAGATTCAGAGGCTTCCTTGGGAGCCTCTGTTGGGGGCTCGGACACCTCCAAAACTGCCTCTGAGAGAGCCTCAGCTCCCGGGGGAGACCCAGGGGAGGCTCTGGTGCTGCTCCCCTCACCGGGTGGGCGTGTCTCATCCTGGTCTCGAGGCGCCAGGCCCTTGTGGTGCATCCAGGCCCGGTGTCTCCGGTGCCGGCCCTTCCCGCCAGCACCCTTGCGGGTGGGTACCGTGCGGGTCCTGGAGAGGCCTGAGGAGCCCTCAGCGTCTGTGGGGCTCCCCCTCACAGGCAGTGTCACCTCCAACAGCTCCACATACTCGCCCTCAGGTCCTTCCGCAGGGGCATTGTGCCCATCCCCAGGACTCCGGGTGCCCAGTGCCTCCTCAGGGAGTGGAGGGGTGGGAAGCCCTGGGGGTCCAGAGGGCAGTTCTGGGGGCAGTGTACTTGGCCCATGTCCAACCATGAGGCCCTCTTTGTGCACAAATCGTGGGCAGATGAGCTCAGCCCAGGGCAGCCGCTGAATCCCAGAGGGTGCAGACAGTAGGCAGGTACTGAGGCGGCCTGTTGGCCGGTCCTTGTTGATGCCTTGTAACCACTCAGGTGTGAATAAGTAGGCGCAGGCCTCATTGGGCACCGGAAGCTCCTGTACCCGCCCACCCCCTGGGGCCAGACACTTGAGTGCCAGACGGGGTGCTTGGGCTGCTGAGGGTACCACTTGCAGGTAGAAGTCTCCTGGGCGCAGCAGCTGCCAGGGTAGGGCTGCTAACTGCACCACCACCTGCTCATGCAGGCAGAGGGGCCAGCCCTCATGGAAGAAGAGGAATCCACTGTATTGGGCCTGGGGAGAGAGGTGGGAGGCTGCACTCAAGCCTCTGCTGAAAAAATCAGCAGGAGGGGTCAGTTAGAATGGGCCCACCCTAGGCAGGACTGGCTTTATGCCTGGGGCTTATAATCCCAGGGGAGTAGAAGGGGGAGATTTTAGGATATTCACATGGCACAGAGGAAGGGATTGGGATGTGGCACAGAGGAAGGGATTGGGATGGATCAGTCTTCTGGTGGTAGGTAGCTTCTCTAGGAAGCTAGTTCCATGTGTGGGAGGGTAAGAACTGAATCATTACAAAGACATGGTCAGCAGATGCCATTGTCTTGAAGGAATCAAAGACTCTTAGGAGGTCTTTATATGCGTAGAAGCAAAGGATCTCTGTTGAGTCATGTCTGGGGGAGTCAGTGTCTTGAGATATTCATATAAGGGGAGAAAATATCTGGAATTGGGTCTGGAGGGTCAGGGTCTTTGTTTGGATGTCAGTGTTTCTAGGGGTCAATATTTGGGGAAGATGAGTGTGCATGTGTATATGTGTTAGTATCTGAGTGGTTAGTACCTATGAGGGTCAAAGTTTGTGGGAGGTCAGCAAATGAGGCTTAAGTGCTTCTGAGGGGATCAGTATTAGAGGAGGCTGTGTCTCTAGGTGTAGGGGGAAGGAATTAGTCAACTTGGCTGGTCTTTAGAGTGAGGCAATACATCTTAGGGGAGGTAGAACAGGGATGCACAGCCACTCACACAGGCTTCCTGCTGGACCTTGGCAAGCAGGTGCTTAGCTGGTACCAGGAAGTCGAGCGTATATCTCAGTGCGTCCTCCCGGTAAGTCCTCTCCACCACCTGGAACACCTGGCCCAACAGGGTGGGGGCCGTGGCCTCAAAGGGCGGGTACAGGGCGGCGAGTGTGCTCTGTACACAGTCCTCCACTGGCTCAGGCTCCTGGGAGAGAAGGACCAGGATATAGAACCCTAGGGATCACCCAAGCATGGCTCCTTAGGGGCTGCACTGGTCTAAGGGTGGCCATGTCCTCGTTTGCCCCAGTTGCACAATGTGCCCAAAAAGTGGGCATCAGGAAATGCTGGTTGATGGCCCAGATGTGAGTGGAGCTGGGCCAGTTAGAATGCACAAGCCTAGCAGTACACTCCACACTCCAAGCTCCAAGACCTTAGCTTTGGAGAGCCAGGGAGAGTTTGTTGTGAATTCCTTTGATCAGAACTGTTCTAGTGTTTGCAAATTTGGGTGACTGGATAGGCTCTTAAGAGAAAAGAGACTCCTCTACACAGTCATCCTGCAAATCCCTTCTCACAGGACCCACCATCCAGAGACCCCCATCTTAGGTGGAGGTGCCACCACCCAAAACTATATCCTAAAAGGTGGTCGTTTGATGGGAAGGAGGAGGATGGAAAGACTGACTGTGACTGTCTTGGGTCTTTCTAGCACCCCTCTCCCATCCCCCAGAGTGGATCTAAAGCAATCACCCATCCTAGAGCATACAGGATTGGGTTACAAAGAACTGGGTGGGGGCAGCTGAAAGATGAAAAAGTCACAAAAGGAACGTGTGGGGAAGGGAGGAGGAGGCCTTGATGGTATGCATTTGGGTTGAAATCTTTTCGGGTTCCAGTGCGACCTCTCTTTGCCAACCTCCAGCTGGAGCTACTCTCTCCAAAGACTCAGCCTTGCTTCATCCAGACCGGCCTCCCTAAGTGAATCAATGGGACATCTTTCTCCAACCCACACCCTAAATAACCACCCCTTGGGCTATCCCTTTGCAAATTTTTTTCTTTCAAGATAGCCTTTGAAGTTCGGTTTCTTTGCTGTAAATGAGAAGGGGGATGCTCTATGCAGCTTTCACCTAGTTCTCTACCAGCCCCTCCCCCTCACGCCCTGCGTTTGCCCAAGACAAAAGTGCATATTTTTCTCTGAGTCCCTCCAGCCGGAGTTGCCGGTTGGTCCCGACAGTCTGAGAAGCTAGGGCAGCCACTCCAGAGACTGACATTCAGTGCGTCAGCACACAGACCCGGCCCCACGGTGTGTGGGCGAACAGACAGACCCCCAGTGTTCCCGGGACCCGCGGGGACCGGCGGGCGCTGTGCGCGTGGGTGGGGGAAGGTGGAGAAGGGCGGCGGTGAGGCAGAGTGGGCCGTCAGCTCCAAGGCCGGGAGGAGGGGAGCTAGGGCTTCAGCAGAGAGGCAGCTGCAACCCATTAGGGGCGGTGAGCTCATGGCTGAGTGAGAGTCTCAGCCACAGGAAACAGCAGCGGCAGGAGGGGAGGAGGGGTCTGGGGCGGGAGGCTGCGGGCGGGAGCACAGAGACGGGGCCTCCTGCCGGCCGGGACCAAAGAGGAGACCAGAGAGACTGAGTCAGCTCTCCCTGGCGCAGTTCCTCTTTCTTCTTGCTCCAGCCTCCCTGCCAGGGGGTGCCCTTCGCTCCATAGAGGAGCAGCCCCGGTAGTGCTCCTTCCCCTCCTCCACTCCCTGCAGTGAGCGCCCCCTGGCAAGGCCTCTCCCCCTCCTCCACTCTGCAGTGAGCGCCTCCTTGGCCGTGACCCCCTTGCAGTGGGCGCTCTCCCAGGCAGAGCCCACTCTTGGAATGGTTCTTTAGAGAGTACTTCTGGAGTGAAAGTTCCCAGACAGTGTTCATTCCTGTTGGTGTGGGCTTCCCCTTAACAGTATCGTCCTGCTTCCTGTGCCCTGAGTTGCTGCAGCCGGAGTCCCCTACCCTCTGCAGGCGGCTCCTGCCCATGCTCGTTCCCTTCTGCAGAAGGAGTGCTCAGAGGTAGCGCTTCTGTTCCCTGCAGCGTGAGCTCTGGGGCACTTCTCCCCAATCCCTGGTCTGCTCTGGCAGCGCCACATCTCCTGCTACGGTGACGGTGACACTCCCCCCTCTCGTCCACTATCCTGAGGCAACCCCCTTTTCTCTGCGGGAATTTCCCTCTTTGGCCATACCCCTGGCCTCAGCCCAGCCACAGCTGCGGTCGGTCCCCCAGGGCCGGATGGGTGGGCCTGCCTCACCGGGTTGGGACTGGGATGGAAAATGGTGGTTCCAGTCGGGTCAGTTCTCACGACCCGAGGCCGAGCCCCTTCCATAACCACTATTGGACCAAGCCGCAGGGGTCTCCGCGGGTAAGGAACTGGGACCGGGAGGGGGAGGGAAGATCCAGCAAAGGAAGGCACAGGTCAGGGCAGAGGAGGGCGGGAGACGAAGGGGAGGTGTGCGGATTAGGGACCAAAGGGAGAATGGGGGAGGAGGCGGAGACTAGGGGGAAGAAAGAAAGGGTGAGGGCAATACCCGGCGGGGACAGAACCAGATAGTGGGACAGACCGACATACAGATCGAAGACTGGGGGATGGGAGGGAGGAGAGTCCCAGGAGCGCTGAACAGTCCGAGGTAGTCGCAGGAGGCACGGGGCTGGGGACTGGGGACGCGGAGCGGGCTGCGCGGAGGCCGAGGGGTCCCAGGGGCTGCGACGCTGGACTCACCATGGCTCGGCGCCGGGCCGCGTCCGACGCTCGGGCGGGCGGGCGGGGCCGGGCGCGCCACTCCTCCCTCCCGCCGCTCGTGTCTCGCCGGGTCTGGCTAAGGGACAGCTCCGGCCGCGGTGGCGGCTCGGCCGGCTCCGGCTCCCAGGCCGCGGGGCCCCGCCAGGGAGGGCCGAGACGGCCGCCCCGCCCCGCCCTGCAGCGCCGGCCCCAGCCTCCGCGCGGGACCCCTTGCCGGGACTCCCGCTCCCGCGCCGAGCCTCTGCGCCGCTCCCTCGACGTCCTCAGCCAATCCGTCTGGCTCACCCCCTTCTTTCTCCGCCCCGCCCTCCAGTGGGTAGCCCGGACTCTGACCCTCGGAGGCCCTCCCCTCTTCCCGCCGTCGCCTCGCCGCCCCGCGGCATCAGTTCAGCCTCCGAGAGGGACGCTCCAAAGGCTGGGGCGGGCGTGAATTCCCTTGGGGTCCCCTGCCTAGGACTGGGGTCTTCCGGCTGCTGGAAGCCTCCTGTCTCTAACTCGCCTGGGATCCTCTTCTCCTCTCAGTTTCCAGACTTTGTTAGGACCTGGGATTCAGAAGAGCCCCCCAGGCCCCTCTGCTCGCCTGGGGTAGAGCGGAGGGCCGGGAGATCAAGGGATTCCCCCAACCCCCCAGGGGCTTGCCCGCCCTCCTCCGTTCCCTTCCCATCTCCTCCGGCCTCGAGCCTCTGGGCTAGGACAATGGGCTCCTCTGTGCTGCCTGGGGAAGGCGGGAGCGTGGGGGAATCAGGGAGCCGCGAAGGCTTGAGGTGCGGGTGGACATCGTGGCGGAGAGGGGCAGGGTCCCGGATGGAGATCTTCCTGAGGGGCTTGCACTTTAGCGGACGCTTGCGGAGTCCTCTCCTAGGTAGCCTTCCCCTCTGCATCCCCTAGCTCTCCCTTGGCTGGAGCAGGGAAGGCACCGGGGCCCCAGTCAGATTGGGTACTGGATGCCAGACCCTCCCTTTTTGTGAGGTGGCGATAGTCTCTATCTAGGGCTCACTGCGACGGGGATGAGTAACTGACACAGTAGCAGACAAAGGGGGTAGGCTGGTTAAGAAAGTTCTAGCCTCCCTCCCTCTGCCTCACCAAACTCCGAGCATCCTCCACCGCGTCTGGATGGGAAATGAAAGCCTGACGAGGGTCTCCCGGGGGCCGAGGAAGACATAGGCACAGCAGGGAGACAACTTGCACGCCGCCTCTGAGCAGGCACCGGGAAGCCCTGCGGCGCGTGGGCCCTCCCAAAGGGTGGCCATTTTAAAGAAGAGTGGAAAGCCGCTTCGTCTCCAGACGGAGGCGTAAAGGCGTGCGCCTCTGCAGTCGGGGGGGACGTTTAGAAAACGTCCCGCCTGGATGCAGTTCCTTTGAGGCCGGGAGGCGGGCGCCTCTGGGCAGTTGTTGGAACAGCGGGAAAGTAGGCGGGAGCGTTGCCAAAGTGACTTGCACTTCTCTCACCTCCTCAGGACGCTAAATTCCACCTTTTTCTTCGGTCCGCTTGGTCTGGAAAAGAAGAGAAAAAATGTTCATCCTTAAGAGGCGAGAAGAGCCCTCTGCTCCATAACGCCAAAAAAAAAAAAAAAAAAGAATCTAGGGCAGCAAACCCCAGTGACCATCTTCCCAGCAAGGTTAGAGAGTTGGAGTTGGAGCTCATTCCAACAACCGGTTATGGGACACTCGAGTCACCGAGGCTCTCCAGCTTCCTTACAATTAGTGCCCGCCCGGGAGCTAGGAGAGTGAGATTTTGCTACCCCCTTGTGTCCACTCAGTAAATACTGCCCAGTAGCTGGTTATAGCGGTCAGCACTTTAAAAACTTTCTTAGAGGATGTTTTATGAACCTGCTCACTGTCTTAAAACCCAGTTTACCCATTCTCAGTGTTGAGAGAGGCTGACCTTTTCCTTATCAGATCTTATATTCCTTATACTCAAGCAGATTGTTTGGAGGACACTTGGTAAAGTTCAAGGCTCCCCTGGACTCCAAGATTCATTACCATTAGGTAGTGGAATATAAATTAAGCTGGTTATGGGGGTCCATGAACTCCTGGAAAAAAAGGAGTGGATCTATTTTCCCATGGAAAAAAAGGGGAGCCACTGAAAGTTTCTGAGCTGGTGGAGTGAGGAAGTTTGGACACAGAGTCTGGGATGCAGGTCTGCTTTCTTCCTGGAGTTTTAAAATCTGTGCTAAATTACAAAGGTTCATTTTAAGTAAGTGACATGTATGGTTGCAATGGTTAAATACCACTTTCTGCAAAGAATGTAGGTTCTTTTTTTTTTTTTTTTTTTTTTTTTTTTTGAGACAGAGTCTTGCTTTGTTGTCCAGGCTAGAGTGAGTGCCGTGGCGTCAGCCTAGCTCACAGCATCCTCAAACTCCTGGGCTCAAGTGATCCTTCTGCCTCAGCCTCCCGAGTAGCTGGGACTACAGGCATGCGCCACCATGCCCGGCTAATTTTTTTTATATATATATCAGTTGGCCAATTAATTTCTTTCTATTTACAGTAGAGACGGGGTCTCGCTCTTGCTCAGGCTGGTTTCGAACTCCTGACCTTGAGCAATCCACCTGCCTCGGCCTCCCAGAGAGCTAGGATTACAGGCGTGAGCCACCGCGCCCAGCCAAGAATGTAGGTTCTTAACCTAAAAGTGTGTGCACACAATAGGGAGTGTGTGTTGATATGTGTGTTTGGAGGAGAATATGAAGGGGTTAGGTTATAATGGAGAAATCAGAGGCTGAGAATAGACCAGGCTTAGAAGCCCTATCTTCCATTCACAAACAGTTCTCACCATATTTCACTGATTTAAGATTCTTTGGGGCTATCAAACTCCTGTTTTACAGATGAAATTCTGGCTTATTGAAGTTAAGAAACTTGCTGTAAGATGTACAGTAAGTGGAGAAACCAGGACTTGAACTCAGACTGACTCCAGAGCCTTTCCTCTTAACTAATAAGTTATAGGGCTTCATCTAAGCTATCAAAGGTCATAAAAGAAGAGCTTTGAACACCACATCACCTTTTCTACCACCTAACCATCACATTAAAAAATGTTGGCCAGGCGCGGTGACTCACGCCTGTAATCCTGGCACTCTGGGAGGCTGAGGTTGGGTGGATTGCTCAAGGCCAGGAGTTCGAAACCAGCCTGAGCAAGAGCGAGACCCCGTCTCTACTAAAAATGGAAAGAAATTAATTGGCCAACTAAAAATATATAGAAAAAATTAGCTGGGCATGGTGGTGCATGCCTGTAGTCCCAGCTACTCAGGAGGCTGAGGCAGAAGGATTGCTTGAGCCCAGGAGTTTGAGGTTGCCGTGAACTAAGCTGACGCCACAGCACTCTAGCCTGGGCAACAAAGTGAGACTCTGTCTCAAAAAAAAAAAGTTAGAATAATTCCCAAGAAATTTCCAGAGTGGTACTTATGTAAAAGTAGTGTTATCCTAACATGGGGGAAGGCTGAAGAAACATCTGTGTCTGTAATGTTTGTTGCCTGGTTTACATGCGCCAAGAGCTGTAAGAACCATCCTATGTATGGTTGGGGCTTTAAGCTGCTCACTATTTATCCACTTGGAGAGTAGCAGTGACTAGAACTCTGCCTCAGTGCCATGCCTCAGTTAAGGGGGAATTAATGAGGGGCCAAAAAGGGAAATTTTAGGGACAGACTTGAGAGAGCATGGTCTTATGAGCTGTGCCTTCCAAGGAAATGGTGAGGGTGGGGCAGAGGGGGTTATCTTGCACTAAACCTTAGTTATAGTTATATTAGGGCAAGAAATCTGCATAATATATAAATATATGTCAATTCTATTTGCTGTTTAATTTCCTATCAGTTTTGGTTTTATTTGGTTGGTAATATTCCAACTCGTTCTCTCTGTATGAACCAGGCATCATCAAAGTCCACAACACCAACAACTTGCCTGTGCTAGTGCATTAGTTTCCATACTGGTCGACCTGCTTCACTCTTACCTGTTGATAAGCCATTCTCTGCACCATAGCCAGAATGATATTTGAAAAATCTATGTCAGATCTGTCAACTCTTTCTAATGGCTTTCCATTTGCATTGTGACTACTTTTTTTGCCTATCTCTCCAGTCTCATCTCTTACCAAGATCCTGATATGCTAAGCTTCTAAGTGACCCTCCAGCCACAGTGGCTTGCTTTTCGTGCTTTAAGCATGCCTCGCTTATTCTTAATGTGATGCCTTTTTGCTCTCTTTTTCTTCTGCCTGCAGCCTTCTTTTCACAATTCTGTGTCTGGCTCTTATTCTTTAGATCTAAGCTAAAGTATTAGAGTCTCAAAGGTCTTCCCTGACAACCCTGTCTAAAGTGATCTCTTATTCATCATTTCTCCCAATGATGTTACCTTGTTTTATTTCTTCACAATGTTTATCACTGTTTGGTTAGGTATATATTTAACTTCTGTCTTTCATCATAGACTCTCCCATACCACCACATATCATTTAAAAATAAACTTTATGAAGTGAGGGATCTTGTTTATTTTTCACTACTGTTTCTTAGCTAGTGTCTGACCACATCCCAAAAGATATTGTCAATTCAGGTGAAGACTGTAATGAGAGAGGAGGTGGAGGCTTGTGGTCAGCTGCTCAGCTATCCTCTCCTCCTGGACCTAGCCCTCAAAGATTATTTATTTAT